CCCCCCACACCCCCCCCCCCCCACCCCCCCAACACCCCCCCCCCCCACCCCCCCACCACCCCAATCTCCAACTCTCCCATCTCCCCCCACTAACAAAAAAAAACAACACATCTTACCTTTGATAACTTCTTCGACCACATTCCAAAGATTTATATGCAATTAAACCATCAACGATATTTTTTCATGAATTTGAATGTCACAAAAAGTCCCAGGTGGTAATGACCAACTAGAAATATGAAGTAAAAACGGAATATGTCCCCTGACATTTGACATCGCCAAAGAGGTCAGTGCTAAATTAATCGTTCGTGAATCGCCAATAATTAAAAGAACACAAAGAATGTATGTATTACACTAAGAGCAATTTAAATTTGACTTAACGGAATTCAACGAATTTCAACCCCCCTCCCCACCCCCACACACACACGTTTAGATGGATGTTATCTCTAAAGAGTTGAAAATCAAAATCCATTAGTGAGTTAGAAAATGGATTGTGTGATGTATTAATTGCAGGGACATTGTTTACTACGGCGTCATCTCCTGTGGACACAATTTCAACGATTTGACCGGCAAAGTGTATCTAAATCGGTCAATTAAAGCTCATTAAAATAGCACAGAAACAGTCCGACGTTTAAAGGTTTGGTCACACGGACTGTTCGGGAGGTTTCTGCTTGGGGGGCTCGGGCATATTGTTGCTTTCCCTATATGGTTACGGCTGTTACGGTGGTAATGAGATTTGCTGAGCTTTCAAACTTAATTTTTGTACCCGTCTATTTCTGGATTCGTGCGGCTCGTGATATTTCTGGTGGGTATATAGGATAGGGTTAGTTACAGATCAAATGTTTCAATGTAGTGTCTTCCACAACATAGATGTTATCAGTCTGGCTTTGTTCAGGGCGTGCAATACATTTCTCGTTCTTAGAAGAAATGTCTTTGTTTCAACAATACTTTATGAATGAAAATCTATGATGTGTAAAACAATAAAGTATTTATGTGTAGAACGCGTAATTTGCAAATTATTAAGTTATATCAGTAAAATAATGTTTGATGAATAAATTTCACTAAAAGTATTAAGTTTTCTTCATTTAAATTATAGTAAATAGACATTTAAAGAAAACAGTTTTTACGAAGTAATTTATAACTTTCTGTGTCTGACACTTCCTTTCTTTGCAAAAAAAAATATCAACCCAGAAACATTCTTTATTGAATGGTCAATTTAAAAAAAAGACTTAAAAAAGTGAAGAGTATAATACTACAGTGTAAACAGAATAATTGTTCGACTGTTTTAAGTCATAGCACGTGCTTCTACATAGAGACCTTCTCATTGAGTCTTGGTTTTAAAAATGTATATCTTTCCAAATGAATTCGGTATGAAAGAGATTGGAAACAGCTCTGCGACAAAGTTTGTCTGAGCGCAAAAAGCCATTTCCGGAATTAACACAGTACATGTCTGATCTTCAAATTGTCATGGTTTTCCAATGAAAACAGATTCTTATTCATTTCAATTCGTAATAGAGCAGTGTAATACAGCAGTGTAATACAGCAGTGTAATACAGCAGTGTAATACAGCAGTGTAATACAGCAGTGTAATACAGCAGTGTAATACAGCAGTGTAATACAGCAGTGTAATACAGCAGTGTAATACAGCAGTGTAATACAGCAGTGTAATACAGCAGTGCTTTAACATGAAGAAAAATCCACAATAAAGTAAACGACACCACAGCATTATCAACTAATATACCTTGGAAGAAAAGTCTCCGCCATGCATGTGTTCACCATGATCCTTATCACTGGCACGTTGTGCCGCTATTCAAATGGTAAGTACCAGGGTCCATTCAGCATCTGGATGGTTTATTTTAATTTTATTTTATTTTCACTCTGGCTCCTGATTTGAATTTGGAGTCTGCCTTCTGTTAGACGAGTTGCCGTCCAAGGCAAGCGAGTTTCATCCACCTGGGCTGCTTGGGACGTTGGCTTTGGTGGGGATTGGACTCCAGACCACCAGCTATTTTGGTTTGAGACAGTTTAGACCGCTCGGGCACCCAGCACCCTTTTGATGGATAAGATTGTATGGCAGAGACTAATGGAAGTAGCCTTTTATCGTTATTGAATCCCATGTTCTTACTAATCTATTTGAATTTAATTTGTAGTAATATTCAGGCTAATCATTCAAACATCATGCTTTACAAAATATGTTGACCGATTCATATTTATTTTTCTCTCTCTCTTTCTTTATTTTAGGCAGTGACATGTAATATTTATTCTCTACACATTTATTTAATACTTTTACAATTTTCTTCAGACATAAGAATTGAACCAAAAAGAAATTAAAAAATGATGATTAAATATTTGAGTGACGCCTTACTTCTCTGCACATCTTCCATTACTTTGACTTACCTGCACATTTTCCATTAATTTTACTTCTCTGCACATCTTCCAGCACTTTCACTTCTCTGCACATCTTCTATTACTTTGGCTTCTCAAACAATGTAAATCCTTTCAGCTGAAATACAACACTTTTAAAACTTTTGTCACGGTCAATTGCTTTTCGACGGATTACTTACATATACCTCATCGACTTTATCATCTATGTATGCATTTTTATCCTCCAGCGGTCAGATATCGACATCTTGAAGATTTCCCAATCGCAGACTGCCAATCGTCGTCTATTGACCTACTCTTTGTGCCTGACTTATCAGCACCGTCTTCAAGTGACATCGATCATCAGATGGCCCTCTTTATTCGTCTAATTGACATCTTCACGTCCACAAATTCCAGCAACCTGGACGGTCTAAGAACAGCCATGATCGTTCCAGAAAACAGAAGCAGAAACTCCTCAATGGAAGTTGAAATTAATTTCGATGACTTCGGCAAAAAAGCCGACATTAAATCTCAGCTTTTCAAATATCAAACACGGATGGTGAAAAACTCGTACATCAAAACGGCCATAGCGTATCTCGTCCAATACTACAGTATCGTGAGACCCCAACGAGACTTGAGACTCGGATCTCAAAGATGCGCAGAAAATGTCATCGTGATGATTGTGTTTGTGAAGGAATACGACGAGCTGAGCTTATCGCGGAATTTGGACGGTGCTAGAAATATATCCAACCTTTATTTAATCTTGGTTCTTGATATAGCCAGACTGGACCCCAAAGACTATTCGGAATTACCGTTTGCGAACTACGCCCTGGTTTCAAATTTAAATTTTCATCAAGATCCGGGCATTTTGGTAGATTTGTGCTCCACGTGCGGGGACGGCTGGTTTAATTTCACACGCCATTCAGGAAGAGGACTGACGTCATCCTGCTACAAACTCATCTACAACGCTTCCTACATCTACGCGATAGCCGCAAATGAAATCTGCCAGACCTTCGATGCGCTTTTAGCTTCCACCGAATCACAGGAAGAGGTCGATTTTCTCAACAGTGCGATTCGAACAAACTGTGATCACGTAGCGAATGGGACAAGTGGTTTGGAAGTGGATTTTTGTTATAAAGAATACCTTGTTCTCATTGGACTTCAGCGAACTAAGAACGACTTGGCCAAACGATTTCGATGGGTGAACGACTTGCCGGTGAGCGTGACTAAGTGGGCCAGCCACTGCCCCAAAGGAGGATACGTCAATGGATGCGGGGCTTGGTATTTTTACGACCGTAACTACAGCGAACCCGCGCAGGAGGAGAGGTCTTCTGGCTGGGTGGACATAGGTTGTGGTCAGAAGTTGCTCGGATTAATCCTGTGCGAATCGCCGGGTAAGCCGCAGGTCGAAGAGAACAGCATAGCCTCAATAAAACCTGCCAGTATCGATGTCGTGACTTCAACATTAGCCAGAAGTGAGCTTTTTTACTGCTACAACTCCTCGACCACGCCGTACTATGTTTCAGTTTTAACCCGGCCGCAAGAAGAAAACGTAATGTGTTACCCATTCGTTAACAAAACGTACGATATTAAAGCCAGGCACGAGGTCCCCGTGAAGCTGTTTGATTGCAGAGACGACACCAACACACACATTCCCTACTACTACGTGTGCAACCACGTACAAAAATGTGAGAACGGCTACGACGAGAGCGTCTGCGGTTACCGGAAATGCGATCCGAAAATCGAATTCACGTGCCAGTCTGGGCAGTGCGTAGACAAAGCGGCAAAATGTGATCTCTTCGCAGACTGCAAGGACGGGTCGGATGAGGACGATTGCCCCGTCTGTCGGATCACTCTGTGTCAAGACGGAAGATGTCTGCCTACCAACTGGTTAAATGACGACGAGACCGACTGCGTTACGATAGGAAACAATGATCCTATCGAAGACTTGCTGTACCCTTCACATATCGATAATGATTGCCCCTTACTGTGTAACAGATCGTCGTGTGTCTCGCGAAATTTGATCGGCAACGGTGTAGTGGACTGCCTGGGTCCCGAGGGCCCCATAGACGAGGCTTTTGTTGATTTTAAGACGTCTTCGTGTAATACGAGTGGGCAGTACGACTACTGGGCACCTAAATGTATTTATATCATGGACAGGTATAATGCACCCATAGGCTGCAGGAACATGCGGCACCTAAAACATTGCCAACACTTTAAATGTCCCGATGGTTACGTCAAATGTCCCGATTCCTACTGCATTCCCAGCCACTTCGTTATGAATGGCAAAGCGGACTGTGCCAATGGCGAAGACGAGGAGATGGACGTGGATGACGTGTCATTGACTTGCCAGGGAAACTTTGTGTGCATCTTCAGCCCACTGAAAGTGTGTCTTCATCCAAGTCTCGTCTGCGATGGACATGAACATTGCCCTAATGGGGAAGATGAGGTGGGATGTCACAATTCCTGCCGTGATGGTTTCGCGTGTCTTCAAGGGGCCGTTACCGTGTTTGGCTATAACACTTCAAAAGAGCTGAGTGACCTGACCTTCATTCACCCGGAGACGAGGTACATAGATCTTTCCGGTGTGAATCTCTCCGTTGCTTTCCCGGCGATTCCCTCGGATAGCATTATCAACTGCATCGACCTGAGACTGTCGGGCTGCAGCATCAGCAGCCTCCTTGTTCTGTACTCGATGGACGACTTGAGGACCATCGTGCGTCTAGACTTATCGTACAACAACATAGAGCAGATCTACCTCGCCCAGGATGTAGAAGAAGACCAAAAACTCCCGATCGTTTACAAAATGTCCAATCTCAACTTCCTCAACTTGTCTCACAACACCAAGCTGTTTCATGTTGATGCTGACTCATTTGGTCCGCAGCCGTCCATCAGAGTTTTGGATTTGTCTTACACCAGCCTCAGTTCCATTTCACTGGCCCTGCTTTCGAAATTGGCCAAACTTACTCATTTGAACTTAAGCCACACGCTAATCGGAAATTTGCCTCCGCGCATGTTTCCGGACAGCTTTACTTTGCAAGAGCTTGACATCCGCGGCCTTGACATAGATGACGTGTATCCGGATACGTTCAAAGGTTTAACCATCAGCTCCAAACTCCTCACGGACACTTTCAAACTGTGCTGTCCGCAGCTGAGAGGGGATAAGATTCCACCCTACACGTGTTTATCTCCGCCTGACCCTTTCTCGTCCTGCTCCGACCTCATCAGTGAAACGATCCTCAGATACCTCATGTGGCTGATCGGACTCACGGCCACGGCTTGCAATATGGTCGTCCTCGTCTTTAGACTAGTAATCGGTCGAGACATTCTCAAACTTGCCTACGGGCACTTTGTCACTCACCTCGGCACTTCTGACATGCTCATGGGCGTCTACTTACTCATCGTAGCGGGGGCCGATACCTATTACAGAGACACATTCGTGTGGAACGACAAAGAGTGGCGCGAAAGCCTGACATGCAAGGTTGCTGGATTTCTATCGACTCTATCGAGCGAGGTCTCGACTTTTTTCATCTTTCTCATAACTGTCGACCGTTTCCTTGTCATCAAGTACCCCTTCAAACAATGCAGGTTCAGCAAACTTTCGATACTACTCTGTAGCCTGTCAGCGTGGCTGGTTGGACTCGCCATTGCCGTCATTCCGTTTCTTCCGCCTCTACAGCGCTACCAGATCTACACCTCAAACAGCGTCTGCCTCGGGCTACCGTTCACCAGCCAGCGACTCCCCGGCTGGGAGTTCTCGACGTTCCTCTTCGTGTTCTTCAACTTCTTTGCGTTTGTTGTCATCGCCGTCGGCCAGTACTTCATCTACAAGGCGATGGCTGAGAGTACGAGCAGCGTCGCTTGTCTCAAGATTAGCGTCAGGCGCGAACAGGACTACGAGGTGGCCAAACGGCTGGCCCTGGTGGCCATGACGAACCTGCTCTGCTGGTTCCCCATCGGAGTCATGGGCATGATGGCGCTGAGCGGGTACGAGATACCGATGGTCGCCTACCCGTGGTCGGCTGTGCTCGTCTTGCCGGTGAATGCCGCTTTGAATCCATTGATTTACAGCATGAGTACAGTCAGGCAGACGTTTGTACAGTTGACACACAGAATGTGGCGCGCTCAAAAGGATGTTAGCAAAGTCACCATGTGATTTAGAAACAAAGTGATTTTGTTAAAGAATTTTTTTTAGTATTTATAGCACTGTGCTCTAAAAAGATACAAATAAGCGTTCTTGATTTCGTTTAGAACTAATACTTTTTTGTCTGTCAGTTTTTCTTTTCACACATTTCCTACGTATTAGACAAACGTTGTTTCATGATTAAGTGTTTGTATTTTATATGAATGCCTAAATCGATAGTTACTTAAAATTATTGTGTTGAATGAACCATCTTCCCACAGAAATACCCTATACTTTCATTTTTACTTTTTGGATGTGAATGTTTTGATGAAATCCGGTGAATTAACTATTGTATAAATCTATAAGTGCCCTCTGAAACTTGCTAAACTTTATACGATTTTTTTTCCTCTTCCAATATTTAACATATATTTTTCCAATAATCAGTCATATTTTGACTGAGACACGTTATTACTATTAAATGAATGCTACAATTCTGCCAGTAGGATGTTTTCATAAAATGGGTCTGTCAAGATGTTTCCATCTAAAATCTCATGATACTTGTCTCTATAAATTTTATTGTTTGTTTGTTTGTTTGTTGTTAATATTGTTGTTTGTTTTTTTTGGACTTGTGATCCTCGTGTAAATATAGACACAAATAGTCACTATTTGTGCCTGCCATTCAATGTCTCCTGGTTTTAAGAATTAATTTGGGAAAAGAAAAAAGTACCCCAAAAAATCAATGCTTTTTTAATCAAATTATTCAAGGGCTTAGTTTGGGTTGTTACGAATGGTGTGGTTATTAGGAGTGATGGGTTTGTTAGGAATGGTGGGGTTGTTAGGAATGGTGGGGTTGTTAGGAATGGTGGGGTTGTTAGGAATGTTGGGGTTGTTAGGAATGGTGGGGTTGTTAGGAATGGTGGGGTTGTTAGGAATAGTGGGGGGGTTTAGAAGTGGTAGGGTTATTCATAAATGGTGGGGTTTTTAGGAGTGGTGGAGTTGTTACGAATGGTGTGGTTGTTAGGAGTAATGGGTTTGTTAGGAATGGTGGGATTTAGGAATGTTTGGGTTGTTAGGAATGGTGGGTGTGTTAGGAATGTTTTGGTTATTAGGAATGGTGGGTTTTTTTATTAGTGGTAGGGTTGTTAGGGATTAGGGTTGTTAGGGATGGCAGTGTTGTAAGACAATGTTGGGGTTATTAAGAATTGGGGGTTGTTTAGGAATGGTAGGGTTGTTAGGAGTGGTGGGTTGTTAGGAATGTTGGGTTTGTTAGGAATGTTTGGGTTGTTAGGAATGGTGGGGTTGTTAGAAATAGTGTGGTTGTTAGCAGTGGTATGGTTGCTAGGAATGGTGGGTTTGTTAGGAATGTTTGGGTTGTTAGGAATGGTGGGTTTTTTATTAGTGGTAGGGTTGTTAGGGATGGCAGGGTTGTTAGTAAAGGTGGGGTTGCTAGGAATGGTGGGTTGTTAGGAAGGGTGGAGTTGTTAGGAATGGTGGGTTTGTTAAGAATGTTTGGGTTGTTAGGAATGGTGGGTTTGTTAGGAATTTTGAGTTGTTGGGAATGGTGGGGTTGTTATAAGTGTAGGGTTCTTAGGAAAAGTGGGGTTGTTAGACACTGTTGGGGTTGTTAAGAATTGTGGTTTGTTTGGGAATGGTAAAGATGTTAGGAATGGTGGGTTTGTTAGGAATGTTTGGGTTGTTATGAATGGTGGGGTTGTTATTAGTGTTAGGGTTGTTAGGGATGGTAGGGTTGTTAGGAAAGGTGGGGATGTTAGGCAATGTTGGGGTTGTTAAGAATTGTGGTTTTTTTTAGGAATGGTGGTGTTGTTAAGATTGTTAGCGTTGTTAGGAAATGTTGGGCTGTTAGGAATTGTAAAGTCGTTAGGACGGGTGTGGTTCTTAAAAATGGTGGGGTTGTTAGGAATTATTATCATTATTTTATAGCTGATCTTTGAACTCCAATCTTCTAGCATTGAGAGACACAGCCTCCGGAAATGAAACAAAGTAAAACTACCGAAAATCCTACAAACCATTCATTTTCGTAAAAGTATCACTGGATTTGATCATTTGATTTGTTGAAGAAATGTGACGACTTTTTAAGATATTAGAGAAATTGTGATCGTTTGTCAAAAATTTTATTATTATTGAATAGTCAATTATGTTGTAAGAATTTTTTAAACTGTAAAATGTTTCAATATTTTTATTAATTATAGTGAATTCTCTCGCTGAATACCAATACCATGGCTGACACGAGCCACAGTACACGATTTACCAAATCCAAGGTCTAGATGTGGGAGAGGAGGTTAGCTTTCACCTCTGGTGAGGTGGGGGTGGATGCCCCTGCTTAAGGGTAA